TAAAACTTATAGAATATGACTTTTAAATTTAAGTTTAATGTAAACCAGTAGTGTCCAACCGGTAGCTCGCGGGCGCCTGGTAGCTCGCGACCTAAATTTTAAGCGCCCGCAAACAAGAAGATGAACAGAATATTTTGTATTGAATTGAAAAGTTTAACAATTGGAAGCTTTTTTGGTACATAGGTAAGCTTTTTTTTTTGAATTTTCACGAACTCATTCACTTCTTATCTTTCTATGCTAGACATGACAGAATCTGTTTCAGGATTTTCAAAACAAAAACAGCGTAATCTCAGCAATAAAAAGGTGTCGTTATCTGATGACCTACCAAACGATATTCATGGCCAAATAAAAAGCGATTTCAAGAAATGTGACTAGGTTTCCTTACAAATGGATGAGTCGACCGATGTTTAAGAAAAAACCTTTTTTTCTATATTTTTTGCGATGATGCTTTGACCAGGGCTTGAACCCAGGCGTTGCGGAGTGGAGGCGCGCACTGCTTACCACTACACCACAGCAGCCGGCATATATATATATATAACGCAGTGAAAAAGAAGGAAAATCTGATTGCAATAACACTCAACCTTGAAAATGTTATGAGCACGATCATTCGTATTGTGAACTTGATTCGCGGATGACCGTTAAAGCATCGGCAATTCAAATGAATTTTTCGATTAATTTTAGAGTGAATTCGGTCACATATTCTACCACTCTGAAGTAAGATGGCAGTCAAGGTAAAGTGCTCTCAATATTTGTAGCTTTGATGACAGACTGATGTGACTGCAAAACTAAATGATTTCAATACAACTTTGCAATCTCGAAATCGATGTATAAAAATAACATGATTTTAGCCTGCACAACTGTGCAATATAAACCAGATTTTAAGAAGTTATCTGAAAATATGCAGCTTGAAGCATCATATTAAGTTTATTGGGCATGTGCTGCGAGTCGTACGATTTGAAATCGGTGTAATTTGCAAACTATTTTTGATTATTTTTAGGGAAAGTAATAAATATTTCAAATGAAAACGGCAAGAAACACATAACTTACGTCATATCTATCGATTCTGTGCCAAATTTTGCCGTTTTGTTAATCAATCTCCGAAGGTTTTGCATCGATCTCAAATCGTACGAATTGCAGCACATTCCCATATGTTTACAATAAAATGAATGTTCTTCATTAAAATATTATGCACTGTTATTAATTTAACTTAACTGTACAAACTTTAATAATAAATAAATATTTTAAAAGGATCAGTTAGTAGAATATATACATTGAATTTAAGAAGAGTGAAACGAGTTAACGCAGTTAAGATTGAAGTTAAGCAAGCGGTGCCCGCGTATTATAGCGATAGTTTCAAGTCCAAGTTCTGTTGGACACCACTGATGTAAACGAAATGGTTTCGATGCGTGCACCCCACACACACTGAGAACACGTCTACTCGCGGCGACGGTTGACTAGATACAAAAATGAATTATTAGTGTAGTCTTTCGAATATACTGTTTTGACATACAATATACATATTTAAGAAATTCGTCTACAGATTTATTAAAAAATTCCGCCTGTCTAAAGAGGCGTTTGTGAGCAGTGATCGGACTTCAAACAAAAATTGTGTGGTAGAATCTGGAAAAAAGTGTGGTAGATTTCAAAAAATGTGGTAGATCTCAAGTTTTGGATCAAACTTTGTACAAAAATTAAAAAAATTCTGCAAGGTTTCACCTAAATTGCAAACATTTTTATTAGAATCTAAAAAAAATTAATTTTAGCATAATAAAGTGCAAGATTTACAGGTTGCGTTGAGTTTTGGCAATTTTTTTTTCTTGACAGTGAAAAGCAGTTCCTTCCATATCAAGATATTTTTCGAATATACTTTGAAAGATTTCTGCAACCTTACGGAGTGCTGCCAGATTTTCTTGTTATCACATCACGATGTAGCGAACAAAAGTGGCACGTTCCAGAAACCGTTACTTGGGCTTTGCCGATTTTGACAATTCTCAAGTAAAAGTAAACAGCGCTTTAGAAACTTTAGATGCACTGCAATTTGCTACTTTCACAAAAATCGACGTTTTTTTAACATTTCTTTTTTATAAATCATATATTTTGCAATATAACACAATAAAACCACGTTTCCTGTCGAAAAATTGAATATTGAGAAAATTTACTATTTTACGGTTTATTTTATTCTCCCATTCTGCCTGTTGTTAGTGTTTAGTGTTGGACNCTGCAATTTGCTACTTTCACAAAAATCGCCGTTTTTTTAACATTTCTTTTTTATAAATCATATATTTTGCAATATAACACAATAAAACCACGTTTCCTGTCGAAAAATTGAATATTGAGAAAATTTACTATTTTACGGTTTATTTTATTCTCCCATTCTGCCTGTTGTTAGTGTTTAGTGTTGGACAATTTTTGCTCTTAAAATTAAGAAAATTATCTCGAGCAAAACTAAAACTACTCAAAAACGCGAATATGTGGTAGATTTCAGACCTTGTGTGGTAGATGCTCACAAAAGTGGCAGATCTACCACAATGTGGTAGAAGTCCGTTCACAACTTGTGAGCCAAATCTTTTTAAAATATTTTAAAACTATCAGCAGCTCAAGCAACAGCTCTACGAATTTTGATCTCAGAGTATTGGGAGTTGCTTTTACTAGTAAAACCAGCTTTTCGAGCTTGTGTTTAGTATTCACGACTTTAGAACTGCATGAAATCAATAAAAATTGTTTAAAATTAGTGTCTAGCCGCCAAAAAGTAAGGAAACAAATGCAAAATCATACATTTTTCACAATTTTCTAACACTTCGCTACACAATCGAAAGCAAAATTCTAACAGAAAGTTGGATACTTAAGGAAAATTTCGACACGGTTGTGGTTGTATAGCTCATAATACGAATTTCACATTCGATATTCGATCTTCATAACCAACGAAGATCGAAAATCGAATGCAACTCATAAAAGGGGCCAATAGTAATAATATTTTGGGGCTCACACTTTTGCTAAGTATTTGGCTGAGCTTCTCCTCCAATTTATGGCATGCGACCTGACAGATAACACGACCTGATAACAGAAATGGAGGGTCATAAAATTTGATTACGATTCCAAACGGCGAATGGTTTTAATAAGAAGCCTTCTCATTGCGGAAATACTGTCGGAGGTTTGACATTGCCTAGGCGACCGCTGCCAGAAAAAACTTTTCTAATTTAAATGTTGCTTGGTCCAGGGATGAAACCCAGGTTCTGTGGAGTGGTAGTACACACTTTAAAATTCATGACATTATAATATGACTAGTTACGAAACTAGCAACTATTTGTCTCATAAATCCAAGTAAAAAAGGTAGGCTAAAAACTAAAGTTACTTTTAGGATAGAAGAAAGAGCGAACAAATATATAATGGGCACAGAAGCCAGAGCCATGAGGTAACAGAGAAAGATTCGTTACCACGATATTCGGGTCTACGTAACCAGAACGACCCTGATTTTTAACAGGCGCAGGACTGCCACTTTAATCCAGGGGTATAGTCGGATGGAGGATAAGGGGAATAGTTTCCTATCACTTGTCCAATGAACTATGTACAGCGGGGCGACGAATAACTGCTACGCAGTTTTTTTTTTTTTTTTTTTTTTTTTTAATAAAAAGGTCCTTTATAGATTTTGCGAAGAAAGTATTTTATTATAAATTTTCTACAGATTTTACTTTAATTTTATTAATTAGTTTTTAAGTTTTAACCTCTATTTGGATTGGAACAGCGGTGAACGCTTTGAGAGAAAAGCGCAAGCGGTACGCAAATCTTTAATTTATATCTTCTGTAACCATAAGCTAATTTCATTTATTTTTTTATTTTTTTTATACAAATTCTCAGAAAAAATTCTCCTGAAAAGGACTTTCGTGCCATATGTACTTATCTCCCAAAGTTTATGCTGCTGCCAAACGCAAATAAGAATTACAATTTTAAAACGAATTGATAAAATTAAAGTAAAATATGTACCTACAAAATTAACAATTAAATACTTACTTCGCAAAATCTAAAAACGATCCTTCCTTTTTTTCAAAAAAACTGTGTAACAGTTATTCGTCGCGACACTGTACATATGTATTATTTTGATTTTGTTTCTTCTAAATTAATTATACATAAGACTAGAGGCATACGCCGCCTTTTTTGTCATTACTCACGTGCCGCCACCTAGTTACGAAAATATCGGCGCGGCGGCGGTGGCGGTGGCGTTCGGCACCTAAGGAATTTTGTACAAAATGTTCATGATTTATTCACATTGAAATTCATTTTTAAAGGAGTATTTTTACCTAATTTGGGCCACTGAATAGGAGTATGATCTCCTCTATTTTTCCAAAAAAGCGTAACTCAGAAAACACGCTTTTTGATCGAAAGCCTTTATTACAGTTGAATTAGGGTTGAACGATTTTTTCCGCAGTAGTAAATTTTTTTCAATACCACAACTACTTCTTTTTTATATACTACAACAACAAGAAAGTTATCACACATCTAATATCTCAGTGACGTGTTTCTAGCCGCTATCGCGAGCGGACGTGTTTTGCCCAGCTCCATTCCTTTGTGATATTTTGCTGTGACATTAAAGCCATACATAATCATAAACTAATCTGTTTAGGCAACGTGTTGAGACAGTGACTCTTACAAATAAATATAGTCATACATTTCGTGGTAAATTACTTAAAATGCCTTGTGTTTGCGGAAAAAAGTAGATCGTTCGCAAGCCAAAATCCAGTGCGGTAAATGCAAGGAATTATTTAATCTGGTTTGTGTTGGTGTTTTGCGCGCTGATGCAGAGTTTTTGGCTATCTCTGACAAAAAGTACTTTTGCCAAAAGTACGCAGATGCCCGCCGAAAATCTATTCGTACCCCTCCACCCGTCGTTAACCGTGTTGAGAACGGCGAATCAGATATCTCGCCATCACCAACTCAGCAGCTCTGATCGGCAAAAGTGCTAATGTCTAACAGCAACAACAGCCACTAATTAAACAAACGCCTATCCAACATGAAAGCGGAATAACAACAGAGAGCAACCAACAAACAGACCTTCCGTCGGTTTTAAAAGAAATTAACAGCCCTATTCCGGTTTTGCAATAGAATGACAATTGATCATCCTTCATTGTCGTGATTTTGTCATTGTCGTTGCACGTTGGCATTCCTAACAAAAAATGACAAGCGAAAAGCTTTTGTCAACTTACCATGCATGGTGAAAAGTTCATTGTTGTAGAAACAGCTGGTCAACGCTATTATTTGCAAAAAATATGAGCGGTGAAACACCAGAAAAGTGAGTATTTGTGTGAAATAAATAAATTCGTATATTTATAACATTTATAAACATTTTAGACGTCCAAAATATGAGCGGACGACGCAGGAGCAGCTGCAATTTTATGTGCAGTTTTGTAGGGAGCATCCGGAGCTGCAAAAAGGAAAAAATAATCCGTGCTCCCCAAAACTGATGCAGTCGCTCTGGACGCAGATGGCTGACAGCCTAAACGCCATGCGTGGTCCCACCCGCTCCGTAGCAAAGTGGAAAGATGTATGCTTTGTATATTTCCATACATACATATGTATGTATTTATATCTTTCATTTATGCATGAATACATTTGCATATACACATTATTTCGCAGACATTAGCGGCGTGGAAAAATCAGCTACGCTGCAGAGCACGAAAAGTGCATGAGGATGTAATTGGAACAGGTGGGGGACCACGGACGGAAATTTATTAAATCGTCGCACTCTTTATATCAACACAAACATATGTTTTTGCCTTGTCACCTGCCCAAAAAGTCATGACAATAAAAATGACAATTGGCATAATTCGAGCTTTTGAATTTTGCTGCGAATACCAAAAAGCTGCAATGGTAATTTTTATATCAATTGTCATCGCGGTGTGCTAGCACAGTCTGCTAGCCGACGAAGTCGTCTCTGCACTTGCTATGCTTAAAGAAGAAGTGAAAGAACTTCGCCTAAATGTAATTCTTGCAAATGCGGAGCATAAAAAGCCAACCAAAAGAAATAATTAGCTCTCCCACATCCACTGCCAATACGCCAGCCGCCTCTGTTGCTGCATTACTCAAACAAATGCAGTCCCGTTCGGCTGTTGCTGGAAAGAGCGACTCTGCCGATCACTCGGAGTATGTTTCATCAGCTCCGCCAGNATGCGGAGCATAAAAAGCCAACCAAAAGAAATAATTAGCTCTCCCACATCCACTGCCAATACGCCAGCCGCCTCTGTTGCTGCATTACTCAAGCAAATGCAGTCCCGTTCGGCTGTTGCTGGAAAGAGCGACTCTGCCGATCACTCGGAGTATGTTTCATCAGCTCCGCCAGTCGAGCAATGTAAAGCCGTCGCTGATTTGTGTGCAGCGACGTCGACTGATGCTGCTGCTGCTTCAAATGCTGATGTTGTTTCAAATGCTGCTGTCTCTAATTCTAACCTACATCATATGCCAGCATGGTTCGTTCATTTGTCTCTGCAGTAGGAGATACCACTGGTGATCCGCCGCATATTGTCGGTGCTTCTGCTCATGCTGCTTGCGCTTCAGAAAAGCTTAAGATGAATTCACATCTAATCGTTGGCTCCAATCCGAGTGCTGAATTAGACGTTGCAGATAAAGTACAGTGGTTGCACCTCTCATCATTTAAGCCTTCTTTCACCACAGAAGAGATCATCGCTTACGTGTCTAAGCATACAGCTATCGACTCAAAACTAATATCTTGTCATATGCTCATAAAAAAAAATGTGGATGTTAAAACATTAAAGCACGTTAATTTCAAATTAGGGATTTCCTCGGCGCATTATGACAAATTCTTAAACCTAGAAATCTGGCCATCTAACGTAACGATTCGTCCATTAAAGTTTTTTCGCCAAGCGGGGAACGTAGATGCAGCCGCATAAGAGCCGTGCCACGTTCTAAATCTCTTGTAAATGTACCATGTGTTGAATATTCGCTATATTATCAAAATGTGAGTGGAATGCGCACTAAATCTGCTCAGTTCTATCGCGAAGTGTCACTACACGAATAAGATATCGTTGCTATTACTGAGACATGGCTGAATGAAAATTTTTATTTCCACTGAATTCTTCGATAGCTACTATAATGTAAACCGGAATGACGAGAGCTTCATAAAGGCGGTGGAGTCTTACTCGCGATTAGATCAGACTTGTGCAGTAAATCTGTTGAGCTGGATTGTGTTGGAGGCAGACTTTATCAAGTCTGTGTTAATGTAAAATTTGCAAATAATAAGTCTATTATATTTTCACTTTCATACATATATGCCTGATCATAATGGTGTAGCACTTTATCAGAAACATCTAGATATCCTAAGTTATATAACGAATTCTGTCAAGTTTAATGAAATAATATATATAGGGGACTTTAACTTAAGCAACATATCATGCTTAGACCATGAAAAAAATCGACTGCCTTTAACATCAAATCAGATGTGGATATCCTTGTTATTAAAGGGTGAACACACCAAAACTGCGACACTTTGGGAAGCTTATAACTTACCCAAAACGAATTCAATATTTTGAAATTCAAATACCATAAGCTGACCATGACCTTAGTTGGACGTAGAAGAAATTTCATTTGAATTTGATTCCTAGTTGAGTTAAAAATGGCAACCGAGTTAGAAACGAGACAAACCATTTTGCACGAGTTTATAAATGATCCGGCCTTAAGTACACGTAAAATTGCTAAAAAATTAAAGATTGCACTATTCGACAGTTTGCAGGGTTTTAATCGATACAAATAAGGCCTGGCAGTTACGAGAAAACCAGGGAGCGGGGGTTAGCATGTCAAAGTGATAAAAACAGTGCTCGGAAGGTCCTCAGTGCGTTTTCGCGAGATCCGAAGATTTTGTCGCGTTATGTTGCAAAATCCGCACGGAGATCGCAGTTTTTCGTACAAAAGGTAAAGCGGAAAGCTTCATTGAGATGTTCTACAGCTCAAACAGCGCCAGACCGAGGCGCAAAGTAGAATGTTACAGCGAAATCGCGCATTCGGAAGTTGTATAAATTCTAAATTAAAAAATACAACTGCATTGTTATGGACTACGAAACCTACTGCTATAAAAATTCAAAATATATTGCAGGTCAAGATTTTTATACTGCTGCAAGTCGTCAAGATGCCCCTGAAAGTTGTAAGCTGAAAATGAAGTCCAAATTTCCAAAAACCACATGGTTTGGAAAGCTATTTGTTCCTGCGGCCGTAAGAGCAGCCCTTTCTCCCATCCGGGACAATGAATGATCAAGTTTATAGGGATGAGTGCCTCAAAAGGCGTCTTCCGTCATTTATCAACAGATAAGGAGTAGGACATCGTTCTAGGCGGGCATGGCAGCCTGCCACTATGCCAAGGACACATTGCCGTGGTATAATGCAAATAACATCAATTTTGTACCTCTCGACTGCAATCCACCCAATAGCCCAGAGCCACGTCCTATTGGGGAATATTGGTCAATTGTCAAAGGAATCTTGAAGAAAACAGGTGAAAGAGTGAAAATTATTGAAGAGTGCAAAACAAAGTAGTTGTGCGCATCGCGTAATGTCGATGATGCAGTCGTGCAGAACATGATGGCGCGTGTGCGATGAAAATACCGATCACTTGCATATGGAGCAAATAATAACTAATATTTTAACATTTTCATAACATCTAAACTTCCAAGTTATATAATACAAAAAAAAATAATTTCAAAGCCTTCTAGTTTGTTTCTGGTAGTAATTTCTAAGTGTCGCAGTTTTGGTGTGTTCACCCTTTAGTTCAGTATTATCCCATGGTCTTAAACAATGTAACTCCATTTTAAATATAAATGGCAGAACCTTGGATTTAATATTCGCTTCTAATAACTTAAAAATTGCCTGCGAAGAATGTGCCACTCCAATTTCAAAAAATACGTTACACCACAAAGCCATAGTTGTTAATTTTCAGTTTTATAACTTCAACAGCATATCGAGCATTCGTGCGCCTGAGTTTAATTACAATAAAGCAAATTACGTTGCAATTAAGAATGTCCTTAAAGAAACTGACTGGGGGTTCCTGTGCACGAAAAGTATGACAAGCGATCTCTAATTTAAAATCTAGCTTTGAAACTGATAGTGAGGGATTTTCCTCTCATTGCTTAAAAACATGTGCTGATATTATGGCTCCACTCTTGTCCTTGCTGTTCAAAAAATGTATAAATCATGGTGTATTTATGGACTCATGGAAACTATGCTCTATTGAACTCATCTACAACACAGGTGATCGGAACGATGTCTGTAACTATAGACCTACAGTGAAACAGAGTGCCATAGCAAAATTATTCGATAACATAGTCCAAAGAAAACTCTTTAATCATGTAGACAACGTTATATACAGATGCCAACATGGTTTCGTCCCCGGGCGTTCCTGCTCTAACCTCCTCTTAGCTACTAACCAAATAATAAATGCTTTTAAAAACTATGCTCAGTTAGATGTAATTTACACTGACTTTTCATAGGCCTCCGATAAGGTCGTGTTGTATAAGCTGGAGCGTTATGGAGTAAGTGGTAAACTCCTGGATTTCTTCGCTAGTTTCCTGAAGGGTAGAAAACTATTCGTAAAAATGGGCACTTCTGTATCAAAGACTTTCGTCGAGGCATGGTCTGGCATACCTCAAGGAACTCACTGTGGTCCACTGCTATTCATTCTTTTTATTAACGACTTGCCGAATCATTTCAAGTTTGCCAATTGTCTGATGTTTGCAGACGACGTAAAACTTCTGCTAGAGGTGCGCAGCTTATCAGATAGCGAAAAGTTGCAATCCGATCTGCATGCATTTGAACAATGGTGCTCTATAAATAATCTTTTTCTGAATGAAAAATTTTTCATTGTAACTTACACTAGAAAGTCAATTTACATTGATTATGGTTACAATTTTTTAACTTTACTTTACATAAATTATTTGAAACATTGACTATCCTTTTAAACTATGTCCAATGAACTCAATAAATACCCCAGTAATATCTCCCGATGATGTAGTAGTTTATCTGAAATCCTTAAGGCAGTCCTTCAGTTATGGTCCTGACCAGATCCCTACTTGTATTCTTATAAATTGTTCTGATTATCTTTATGAGCCGTTAACAGCGATATTTAATTTATCTCTTAAAGAGGGCGTTTTTCCAACTATATGGAAGGAATCGTTCATAACCCCGTTACATAAAAGCGGTAGCAGATCTTCAGTGGAGAACTACCGGGGAATAGCTAAGCTTTCTGCAATTCCTAAATTATTTGAAGCAATTATAACAAATCAGTTGGCGCATTCTATCTCTTCTAGCATTTCATATAGTCAACATGGATTTTGCAAGGGCAAATCAACTTCTACAAATTTACTTGAATTAACATCCTATATCTCAAAAGCATTTAGTGAAAGCAAAACTGTTCATGTTATATATACTGACTTCAGTAAAGCATTTGACAAAGTGTGCCACTCGTTGCTCATCTACAAACTTGATCTTCTTGGTCTTCCACCTAATTTTCTACGTTGGATCTCTTCATACCTCTATGATAGATCACAAAGGGTAATGTTTAAAAATACTATCTCTGACGTCATTGATGTTACTTCAGGAGTCCCTCAAGGTAGCCACCTAGGCCCGGTTCTGTTCTTGCTTTTATAAACGATATTTCTACAAATATACAATTTTCCAAAATTTCAATGTATGCAGATGATGTAAAGCTTTATAAATCGTACGTTTCAATTAAAGAAAAGTCTTTGCTACAATCAGACTTAGACAGCATGGCTTACTGGTGTCAAGTAAATCTTATGCCTCTAAATCTAAAGAAATGTAAATTAATGAGCAGGGAACGGATTTTATGGAAATTGCCTTTTTTTCTGCTAAAGAGATAGAGTATATTCG